GAGTTATCTAGTCGATATTAGAGTGGTCTGCTTTTAACTTTATACTTTGTCAGGCCAAGTTAAAGATACCTGATTTTTATAAATTAAAATAAATGTTCAAGATTAGCTTAAATTCACATTTTATATATAAATAGGTCAAGTCGACCTCAATTAGATAAAAGAGTTTAAATGAGTCAAAAAAAATTATACTTAAAATTTAAAATTTAAACTCGATCATTTAAAAAATGATAAAAATAATAAATTTAAAAATTATTTAAAAATGTGTGTCCAAATTTTATCTTTAAATAATAATCACATATTTAAGAAAGTCTTGCATTGGATAATTTCAACCAAAAAACAATTACTGCTGTAGATGAGTGAAACATGGGAGGAGTGAGTCACGCATTTGTATTTTCTTCTATCCTTGTCCTTGACGTGAAATGTAACGTAAAATGGGTTTCATTACTTTTTTGCTATTATTTTGTTGGTTTGAAAAATAAAAATATATTTTTTACAAAATGAAATTTTCTAAAATAAATTAAATAATTTTATATTATGAAAAATTAATATAATAAAAGATTGTCAAAACCTAAATTAGATTTTAAAATAATAATAAAACTATTTCTGTATAATTTATTTATTTATTTTCAGTTTTTTACTTATTCAAATAAGTAAAATAATTTTTTTATTTCAACTCTTCTAAACAATATATTATTTTTAATCTATTTCACTTTTATTTACATTATTTATATTTTTCACTCTGTATCCAATCAATGCCTTAAAACTTATACTCACAGTATCTAATTTTCAATAAATTTATTCAATAATTAAGAGTGTTATAAAATAAAAGTGTGTCAGAGAACATGAATAAGCCCTATCCAGGGTTAACAATTTAGAGCATTAAATCGAGTGCTGAGAATAAGGAAAAAAGATGAGGGTGGCTAAAAAATCCAAGGACTGATTTATCCCACCGACTTCATGTTCAACCCTCACAAATGGTGCACCACTTGTCTTACCTTAATTGGCTTCAGCGGTTCAACGACACAATACCTGTGAAGTACGTGTAATTCGATTCCACCCTGTTTTTCGATAAACATTATATTAAACATGTTTTAAGACTCATTCTCTCCTATAAATATATTCATGCTTATCTAAATGGTAAGACTTACAGGGAACATTGTTCACAGACCACAATCTTATACTATGGCAGACAGTGTCACAGATGTTCAGGGCTTGCTTCCTCAGAATCTCAATTCACAAGATTGTGAACAGAAGGAAGAGGGGTTAGTCTCCTCAGAGAAAGTTGAGAAGATGGAAGAGAAGGGTCTTAAAGAAGACACACAAAAACATTGTGTAGCTGAAGACAGTGATGGCGGTGGAGGCCTTTTTAACAACTTGATTTCCACCCTTATCACACCCTTGAGTCCAAGACATGGGAAAGACACTGAGCATGAAAGTGAGGGAAAAGGAGGTGATGTTGCTGCTGCTGCTGCTGATGATGATGATGATGGAGGTGATCATGGAGAAAAAGGAGGGGTGGACAATGGTGGAGAAGGAGGACTCATCAGCAACCTGGTTTCTAATTTCTTTCATCAGAGTGAAGGTGATGATGGTGTTGTGAAAACTGTGGAGGACAAAGAAGAGGAAGAAATCTTGGTTGATGAAAAGATCAAACGGTTGAAGACTGAGAATGGGGGTGATGGTGATAGTGGAGGCATCATTCATAACATTGTTTCTCATTTACCTTCTTCAATCCCAGGTAAAGTGCAAAAATTATGTCATTCTAGCATTGTTCTAGGTGAATTCAGAAATTTAGACATTTTACCAACTTTTAACTTATTTTTTATTTTAATTCACTTGAGATGATGTTATTTATTTAATGGAGTAATTTAAAAGAACCTTTTTTTTCTTTTCAAAATTACCAAATTTAAAGAATAGGAGACTATTCTTAATGGAGTAATTCACTTGACATTTTTCCTTGGGCTAAGTTTGAATTCTTTTGTAATATCCTTAATTTCTTAATTCACTCTGCACTGAATATGCTTAGCAGCTCAGGCTAATATGATAGTTAATAGAGAATATAATGGAGCTTAATCAGGAACTTGATGATGATTATTATAATTTTTATTATTTATTTTATATTTATTATTCACTGCCTTGTTTTGACCAGATGATGCGGTTCCTACTGCAGACGAAGCTGCTTTTTTGATTAACACTCTTGTCCGTGACTAAGCAGAGCATTCCTTCAACTCAGTGCACCAAATGCACCATGAAATATGTATTTATTGTCTTTCATTTCTTAATTTTAGATTTTTTGGGTTCATTTATGGTAACACTTGTTGTAGTTCTTCCTGATTAAATTGTAATGTCTGTTAGAATGAGACAAAATATTATCGATTCATGTCAGGAGTTTATTTAATTTTTTTTAAATAATTTGCCGATTAAATTGTTTGTTTAATTCTTTAGCATATATTTAAATTGTTTGATAATTTTTAATTGATTTTGCGTATTTTAGAAAAATGAACTTAGGAATCAATAATATTTGAATTAAATATTTTTACAGCAATGTTTTTATTCAACTTTGATAGAACTTCAATCCAAAAACTTAACTAAAATAATATATAACTTTAAAATTTTATTTATGAACTTTTAAATATATCAATTTATTTAAAAACTACAAGTCCTTCGCCTAATGCTTGATAATTTTTTTATTGATCTCACTAAAATTATTAGGATTAAATGAGTTATTGATATTTGAAAATATTTATTTTTATTTTTAGTTTTTAAAGAAGTTTCGTTAACCTTTTTATAGCGGGTCCCTGTTGATAAATAGGCAACTTTAGAACTATTCGTATTAACTTTTGAACCTAAAGCATTCCAAGACTCTAGACTGAGTTCCCTAATTGAATATTTGGTTTCAGAGTTAAACATCTAGACATGACAAGATCAACAAAAAATAAATAAGAAATAATGAAGTCGTCTTCAGCAATATGTATTAATAATTAATTACCAAAAAAATATGCATTAATAATCAAACTCTTCCTTCTACGCAAATGATAAAAGATAAATAAAAAAATATTTCTATATCTTCAATCTACTCCATTAAGGATTGAGAGTTGTTAAATTTTGAATCATTCTTAAGAATGATCATATTTGATTATTTAACACAGCATATAATTAGTTTTGTAGTAATATTTGGAATATCACAAATATTTTTGTGATCACTTTGTTAGCAACATTACAAAGATCAACAAAGCAAAAGTTCTTTAAATATGTAGGGTGATCCAATTAGGGAATCAAAACAATAAGTGTCTCCTTAGAGTAAAAGTATCCTGAACAAGAAACTAGAGAACATCACCACTTTCCGAAAGTACATAAATTTTTTTTATAAGTAATTGTGTTGATACAAAATTATATTATATGAGTAAAAACTGACGTCATATTTGAGGGGTAGGTTGAGGGAGAGCAAATCTTTATATTTGGATCCGAATCTTAGCAAATTTTGTTCTGCTTAAATAAATTTAATAAAAAATAATTTTTATTTTAAACAAAATTCGCTTAAACAAATTTGATAAAAAAATTACTTTTCGTTTGAACCAAAAATTCGTTTACATCAAAATTATAAATTATTTTAAAATTTTATTTTTTTTAAACTATAAAAAATTTGAAAATTTTTTACTTTTCATCGATAATTACATAATTATTAAAATCCTTACATATATTATTTTACTAATATTTTAAATATATTGTCGAGTATGTTATTTGTACTAAGTATTAGTGAGATAAAACTATTTATAATTAAGTTAAATTGTTAAAAATAATGATAAAAACTTTAAAAATGATGACTTTAAAATATTAGTTGAAAAATAATTACAGTATTACATATTTTAAAACTCTAAAGTTTTTGTTATATGATTATAAAGTGTGATTACATTATCTTACATAAAGATTTTTTTAAATTTCTATAGTTTAGAAATAAAAATATAAAGTTTTAAATTTTTTTACATTTTTTTCTTAAGCAAATTGTTTGGCTTAAGTGAAAATTATTTTTTCACCAATTAGCTTAAGTAATTTTTTTAACTTAAATGAAAATTATTTCTTTGTTGGATTCATTTGAACAAATTTTTTTTCTTAACCAATTTAGATTACAAACTGAACTTTTTGCTTAAACTGTAGAGAATTTGGATTCAAAAAATTCTATAATAATAAATTAATATCTAAACAATGGCTAAATAAATATATAAATATACTAGCATAATGTGAGAATAATTAAAAGATGTGAATAAAAATATAGTAATATTAAAACCACACAAATAAAGATTCACATTGAATGAAAATTAAGTATTTATAAAAAATATATATATAATTCAGTTCTAATTAATTTAATTGTTATTTTTTTTAATCTTATCAAAACTAGATAGAACCACTTTGAGCAACAAAAATTTTACAGCTATATTTGCTAGAACTCAAATTTAAGATATTAAATTAAGCTGGAACAGCTTTTTACTAATTTATTATAAAAATTATATTAAAAATAAAACATTATTTAATATTTTCTTCTTAATAGAGTAATTTCTGATTATTTAGTAAAGTCATTGTTCAATTCTACACAGTAGTTAGTGAAGTGTTTTAAAGAAAGTGTCACAAAAATATTTTATTATTATTTATTTCTTTTTGTCAAATGTTAATATATATATATGTCAAAATGTTTTTTTGCCTAAAATTATTTATTTCTCAACTGTATACTAGTATGAGAAGATACTAATGGTTTATACGAAATGACAAACAAAAGAATTCTCATGGATTTGGGCCCAGAAGTGCAATACCCGGCCCATAATTTAATATCCTTCACAGATAAAGGCATTGGCTGATTTTTTTAAAACGCAACTAAGGTAGGATTTAGGTTTTTTCACCGATTCACATCCTCTTTGTGCAGTGACAACCACATAGAACACACACACACACACACACACGTTGTTATCGTACAGGACACCAAAATGGTTAGTGTTCAAACTCATACCACATTTTCACTTGTTTTTTGGTTCCTGTTATCACACTTTTTTTTTTAATGTTTTGCATTATATTATTTTCTTGTTTGTGGCACTTGTTTCTCAATAAACTCAACATGTTTTTTTTTTTTATTTATGAACTTATCATCTATTGGATTTCGTTAAGGTATAGCTGTTTATGCTTAAATTTTGTTATCTGTGCTAATACCGTGCAATTGTTTGTGCGGTTTTATTGGCTTCAGTAAGAGCCCAAAAGGGGACTATTATTTTAGAGGAGAGGGTGGAAAAAACTGTAGATAAATTCTATTTATACAATAATTTCATACATTATTTTTTACAAATATGAGAGATAGGACGGGAAGAACAAGAACTGTGAGAAAAGATGGGTGACAATCTAAGAAGTTGAGAGTTCAATTTCTGTTTGAGCATACAGTTGTAGTTTGAACCTGTTATTACTCATACTTGAGGCTGATACTCCAGCAGGAGTCCTGCCCATGGAATTATTTGTAGACTTAGTTGGGTAATTTTCTTGTTGTCCATTTTCTGATTCATTCTGATCTCTCAATTCAATTGTTTAGTTCTCAGTTAGAGTTAAGTTAATCATGCCTCAATCTCCTCACCAGCTCAACCTAGGTTTGATGAATTGAGAGTTGTTAGTCTTGCTAATGATCTCATTTAATCATTTATATTTTCTCCCCCCTTTTTTGATTCTGTGTTATACAATAAATTTCTGAATATGTCTATTTCTCGTTGTTTTGCTTACAAAGTTTTATTACAAAGTTTCTGAATGTCTCACCACACATATAAAGCTTGTTGAATTTTTCCTCGTCTAAACTTTTAGCCTTTTTCATGTATTTCAGGCCAGAGGGTTGAAGAAACACTTGAAGCGGCTCAATGCCCCAAAACATTGGATGCTTGACAAGCTTGGTGGTGCCTTTGTATGAACTAGCTTTTACTTGTTTCATTTGTATTTACCTAGTGGGAAGGCTATTGTGTTGTTTGTGTTTTCATTTGTATTTTCCATTTGACCTCATGTAATCAATTTGTCTGGTACTCTGGTTGTACAGGCACCAAAGCCATCATCGGGACCCCACAAATCAAGGGAGTGCCTGCCTTTGATCCTTATCGTGCGAAATAGACTAAAGTATGCTCTCACATATAGAGAAGTGATTGCTATCTTGATGCAGCGCCATGTTCTTGTTGATGGCAAGGTTAGGACAGACAAGACATATCCTACTGGTTTTATGGGTACGTGTGTCTAGACTTGAATGACACATGGCATTGCTTAAAATTTGATTTCAGATCTATTGCCTTGATTAAACAGACAATTTTGGCAATTATCTATCCTTGTCAGTATAGAAATATAATGAGTAACTGAGTATTTAGACAATGCAATTAAGCAGCTTTATGGTTCTAAAGTTTAATTAGTGATAGTCTTATTCTAATCTTTCTATTACCACTTTGCAGATGTTGTATCTATTCCCAAGACAAATGAAAATTTCCGTCTTCTCTATGACACAAAGGGTCGTTTCCGTCTTCACTCTCTAAGGGATGATGAGGCAAAGGTCAGTCTAGTCCCTTCATAATGTCTGTATTTTCAGCCTTTAATATAAAATTGCTTGGTTTTTTATATTGTATCTTTGTTCTTTTTCTGCTACATAATGTAGGCCAACTGATCAGTGCTCATTGTTATCACTAAAAGAAGTTGCTGTAGTTGGATGAACAAATTTTGGACTTCGTAGTATATTAAAAGCTTGTTTGAATATTTATGTTTGATGTGTAGACTTTCTCAAAGCACGAACAGGGAAGTCTAACAGGAAATGAATATTTATACCTAAATCTCCTTAGTACTGTATACCCTTGTAATTTAGTTGTTTTCTTTATAGTAATTTTTTTAAAATAATCCATCCTCCCTCCAACATTTTGCAGTTTAAGCTTTGCAAGGTTCGATCTGTTCAGTTTGGGCAGAAGGGGATCCCCTATTTGAACACCTATGATGGCCGCACCATCCGATATCCTGATCCGCTAATCAAGGCTAATGACACTATCAAACTAGACTTAGAACTTAACAAAATCACTGATTTCATCAAATTTGATGTTGGAAATGTTGTTATGGTGACTGGGGGAAGGAACAGAGGTCGTGTCGGTGTCATCAAGAACAGGGAGAAACACAAAGGAAGTTTTGAGACCATCCATGTCCAGGATGCCACTGGTCATGAGTTTGCAACTCGCATGGGTAATGTCTTCATGATAGGCAAAGGAACAAAACCTTGGGTGTCTCTTCCCAAAGGCCGAGGTATCAAATTGTCTATCATTGAGGAGGCTAGAAAGAGGCTTGCTGCTCAACATGAGGCAACTGCTTAAATTTGATTACATAATATTTTTGGACAATTTAGCTGTTTTAGATTTTGTCTTTGGAGGCTGGTTTAAGTTTAGTGTGAGAAAAGTTTCAGTTTTAGCATCACAAATTGAGTTCAATTGCTCACTTTATTCATATGTTTGGTGAGATGATTTTGATTCATTTTTGTCTTAAAATTGTATTTACAATCTACTGGTTGTGATACTGATCTATGATTGATTTCACTCACACAAGAGCGAGCTTAATCTGCTTAGCTTTTTATTCAAATGACTCTTTTGAAGCATATGTCTCACCACTTATCTCGAGCAAAGAGAACGCAATCTAAGAGAGACGAGAAAAAAATTGAAAGCACTTGGATGGGATTTTTTAGTTACTTTTAGTATTGTCTTTTTTAAAATTAGATAATTTTGACAAGTATTATTAAAATTATTTTTTAATAAAATTTAGAAGTATATTATGAGTATTTTTATACTTAAGAAATTGAGTTTAAAAAGGAGTAGTTTTATTAATAAATATTTTATTATACTAAATGGGATTAAATTAAAGAGATAAATTTTGAAAAAGAAGAATAAAATAAAAAAAGTGAAATATTGTATGCAATAAAAGTTGCATGGCATAATGAGAAAGAAAATCATTTTAATAATCTCATTTAAGATAATTTTTATAAACAGTAAGCATAGGCACTCACATTTATATAGTAGCAAATTAGAATTTCAACTAGGTAACTCAGTTATCAAAATAGTAATAAAATTTTAGCTTTAAATAAAAGAGAATGTTAACTTCAGTCTTTAGAATTGATTTTAACCAGCTAAAATTAATAAGTTTTTATTAAAAAAAAAACATCTATTGCATTAAGAATAGAAAAATAAAATAAATATATTTTTTCATAAAAAATGATTACTTTATGAATTTAAAATCAGTCTTAAAGGTTGGGAAAAATGAACTCATCAAAAAGATAACATTAAAATATATAAAATAATTTACCAAAGTAAGTAATAAGAGATGGTAACTCATTATTGGAAGAAACTTTGTGCATAGTTGTATTACTAATAATGGTGAGTCTGCAGTTTCTTATGGCACAGACATTCTAAATAATTCATTATTATGGTTCTTCATTATCTATATATAGTCTTTTTTTTTCCCTCTCAAGCATCCATTTATATGGGTTTTTAATTTAATACTTCTTCAGTAAATCTAGTTATTAGCAAGAACTTATTGAATCTATTATTAAACTCATAATAAATTAAAAGTTATTATTTCTACACAACTTAGAGCCTTGAGCATTGTTTAAATACATGCTATAAGAGTAACTTATTGCCTTCTAAGTAGAATTGGCATAACAAAGGCATTCTTCTTAACCAGAATTATTAGAGTAGAATAATAACTAAAAGAATTTAAAAATCATTATAACATTAAGATTTTTAATATTTGATTTAAGATGCCATTACTCATTATATTTGATTTAGTATTGTTATTATACATGATTTGAGAGTCATGATGAAATTAGTAAGAAATGTTTTAAAATGACTATTTTTTTTTCTTAACGCAAAATTTTGATAATGTTATTATTTTGAATGCTAACATGATTCAATAATATTGACAATTGAGTCAATCTAATTTACAAATAATATATAAATTTTAATATTACTAATAGTTAAAACATAAATATCATAGTATTATAATATATATTTTAAATGAATATTATCAAAAATATAAATATGAAATTATGATATGTAAAATATTTTTTTTATCAAATTTTAAATGCTTTTAACTAATATTAAATTATTTAAAAAAAAAAAAACTTTAAAAAAAAACACAATAGACTAAGTTACAACATTCAAATTATATAACTTAAATCTATCCTTAAAATATATTGGCTCTAATTTTAAAAATTTAAACCCATTAAAATTAACAGTGAGCCAAAATATATTAGTAAGACATGTCACGATTTGTGCTTTTTTACTATGTTTTTTTGTTGGTTTGTATGGAGTAGCTTTTTTTTATTGTTTCTTATTTGACTCTTTAAAACTATGATATAAAATAATTTATGCTTAGCATGTACATTTATTAGTATTATTTAGAATCGAAATATAAAAATAATTATATTCAAACTCAAAGAACGGCACGTTAGTTGATTTAAATATTTTTAATCATTATTATTATTATTAAATTGACTATCTAGATCCATTATTATATACACTCTACACAAAGATAATAAATGTACAAATTTTTAGTTAAACTGAGAGCTTTTTTAATCAAAAGTTTCAAATTATTCCTTAAAAATGATATATTATGAGAGTCTAATATTTAAAATTATAATTTTTTAGTTTTTCTTTACTTTCTTTTATTAAAAAATCGACTAATTAGATAGAACTAACCTATACCGCTATACGTGACCAATTTGGTTTTGATGGAACGAGGAAAAAGAAATAAAAAACGAAACAAACCTAAACTCTATGACATTTGAATCTCTATTGGAGTTTTCATATTTGAAAAAAAATAAAAATAAAAATTCTTCCACCGTTGACTATGGTCACATATCATTATGTACTTCCAAGTCCAATAATATATTTTAGAAAATAAATCATTTTCCCGCCAAATATTGGATGACAGACTATATCCCCAGCGCATAAAAAATATATTTATTATTAAATATTAAATTATTTTTTAAATTTTGATTTAAGTTTATTTTTTTCAATTTTTATTTATTTAATTCTTCAAATTTATTTTATGTTTTAATTTAGTCTTTTATTTTTTATTCATTTTAATATTTTAAATTCATTTTCATACCAAAAGTATTATGAGAGAGTTTTAGACCATGGTTTGATTAGTGAAGTTCCAAGGAATGTAAAGTAAAAACTTTTTTAACATCTCATTTAATTATCAGATGTAACTAGTTTCAAATGATTAATAAAGTATCAAATACAAAAAATTTATAGCCTTTTATGTTTAATATATACTAAATCAGTCATATTTTAATTTTATAATATATTGATACTATAACTTATTTAACAAATATTTTAAGCTCCTTTAAGATTTTAACTCAAGTTTTAGATAATTTTAAATTTAATTTATCATTTTCTCTTTGTGGAATCATTATATAAATTTTTTATTACGTATCCATGTTGCAGATATAAAAATGATTAAATATAACGTTAGAAAGTCGTTTATCTTTCATTTCTTATAAAAGAATCCTACGCATGCATGTATAATGAAATGTCTATTTATTTTATTCTATAATTTTTATGAACACAGAAGTAACAAATACTTAATAATTTCTTAAATTATTTAATTATGAAATACAAAATAGATAAAAAAAAAACTGAGAAGATAATGAAATAAATTGATGGTGAAATAATTGTATGTATATCATAATATCATAATTGCTTTTATTAAAATTCATGTATTTATATAACATTAAAAGGTAATTTTAAAATACTATAAAATTTTAATGTCAAATAAAAAAATTAAAGGACTTTTTTTAGATAAAATTTAAAAATTCTTATATTATATTTAATTTTTATATTTATTATTCATAAATTTTCTCATGCTTAACTATTACTTTAAGTATTTATTATTATTATTTTTATAATTTATAGAATTTTAATAATTTTCCAAAACTACCTAAATTTCTTTTAAAAAAAATATTTGCTACGAATTACTAGAAAGTGATAATAACATTATTACCTGTTAAACTTAATAAAACAATGCATCTACTAATATTTTATTAAAATAAAATTTATCATTCCATAGTTAATTTTTATAGTATCATCATAACTATCATGTATATAAAATTTTATAAAATTTAAATATTCATATATATATATATATATATATAATATAGCTATTTATTTATATTTTAAACGATATATCGTCTAATAAAATATTAATTATCTTTTAAAATATGTAAAATTTTGTTTTAATTTATTTATAAATTTTTTAAATAATTAATTAAATTAATAAAGCTTTATAACAAAAAAATATTAAAATATCATTGAAATAGTACGTGGTTTAAATATAATTTTAGTTGAAATCATAACCCACAATTACTAAACCCACTAAATCCTTGAAATTTGCACTCATTCTAACTTTGTCAACATTTTGATGAAATGGGACGTGAAAAATGTTGCACCCCTCGAGTTGACTAATGAGTCCATCTTGTGATTCTGGACCTCCCCCACCCACTCCTATCACTCTCTTTAGTTCTTTTAATAAAAATATTTATAATTTATAAATTTTGAATAAGAAAAATAAAATTAAAATTAATATTTTTCTCATTTGAATAGTGCTAAAGTATGATCCATTGCATTTGAAAAGTCCTCGTCGTCGAGAAACAAGTGATTGTGAGTACGACGATGTGTAAATTCGAGTTGACAATATCTTTAATAAGTTCATAGATAACAACATTCAGATTAAAAAATTTACGTGAGAGTGAGGAAAATAAATAGAAGATGTAGACATTGGAGACTTAATATTGAGTCAAACGTGTTTTCTTATGTACCGTCAATTTGGACTTCCATGTAAAGAAAAAATGAATGTTCATCCATTCATTTATTTAAATGAGCAAGATTCAAGTGCTTAATATATTCTTTAACTTGTTTGTAAGTTCAATTTTTTATAAGTTTTAAATAATTTTTCAAATCAATTTAGCATTTAATAAATATTCTTATGTTCAAAATAAAGTAAAATCGTAACAAAATATACTTTTATCTACATAAAAACAACGGAAGGTTAATTAAGATTAAAAAATTTATTATGAATTTTTTTTTTAAATTATGATCACTTATTCGAAATACAACTCTTAAAAATTAAAATTAAATAAATAATACATGCACATAATAAATAAATAAATAAATTTTAAATAAATAAAATAAATAAAATTGCAATTATATAAGATGCATATACATGTAAACTATTTACGAATTATTAATTAAATAAATAAACCTAGCTAACATTTAATAAACTAATCTCGAATAATTCACAATTAATTTGCTCATTTTCATTCCTACTTAGCACCATATCATTTATATAATATTTAATGTAACTAATGCTAGATTGACACACAAATTATGCTACTACCTTATTCTTTGTTTTTTTTTTTTTAAGAATAGATTTTATTTCAAAGTTAAATGTTTAAAAATTACTCTAAAAGTAGGGATGACCCGATAGACACCTGCAAAATTTATCCACAATGAATAGGATATTTACCTGCTATATGGGTACGGGTATGGGTGTGGGAAAAAACCTGTAAATTTTAATGAGGATGTGTGCGGGTATGGGTATCTAAGTACCTACCCCTCCCCATACCCGTATATATATATATATATATATATATATATATATATATATATATATATATATACTTGAATTTTATTCTACAATTATGCGTTGAAATTTTGTATTATTATATTACTTATGTGAAATTATATAAGATTAATATAAAAATATATTTAATAATAAAGTAAACTAAAAAAATTATTTTAGTTTATATTTTTAATAGAAAAATTTATTTACTATTTTATATCATTTAATTGGGCTAATACAATTTAATTATTACATAGTTAATATGAGGTTGACTTTTTTTTAAATATTATTTATATATGACACATAAAATATTTTTCAGACAAATTTTTTTTTTAATAAAATCATATTGATGTTTAAATCATAAAGTGAACGATAAATAATAAATATATTATAAATATTTTATAAATTTTACAATCACCTACTATTACCGTAAACTTATTATTTATTAATAATATTTAAATTTTATTTTTTTATATTTTAATTTAAAATAATATTTTTCTATGCAACATAGGTATTACAAGCACAATTATAATCAATTGAATCTAAATAATATTATTCTTACTATTTATTCACGTTCAAAGAAGTTTTTGAAAATAAATAAATATAAAAAATTATTGTTAATTTTTATTTGTTAATTTTTCAGATAAAAAAGTATAATTTTTTTTAATATACACGTATATTTCTTTATTATAAAATTTTATTGTGACCATTTATCTTTTAAAATTTATATACATTATAAATATTTAATTCATTAAAATAATTTTTCAAAAATTTATATTTTTAATAAAATACTTTCGTATAGTATATGAGTTAAAATACTAGTATTAATATATATATATATATATATATATTAATTATGTTATATTATTTTAATTAAATATATATATATATATTAATTATGTTATATTATTTTAATTAAATCTATTATTTTTTTTTACAATTTCAAATTCAAAAATTAAAAAAATATTTTATGTATCCACTTTTTGTTGTTAGTATTGAACTTTTCTACTCTAACTCTATTCTCATTCTCAATGTCTGTCTTATTAAAACCTAACAACTATGAAACGTTATTCATTAGAGTTAGTTGTCAATGCTGTCACAAGAGGTCACCAAGTGATTCCACACGAAGAAACAATCATTGTGCAGATTTATTTCGTTGTCACTCTGACATTGCCAATCGATCAAATCTCACACAAGATAGGGTTATCACTGACAAATAATTTGTGTATTTAGTTTTGCTTATTGTTTCTAAGAATTTTAGTTTAAAAAATTATTATATTAAGATACATTTAACATTTATGATCTTTGAATATATTTTTTTTATCTATGTTTGTATGTTATTCGGCAACTAAATATTGAATTTTTGTATTATTATGCTACTTATGTGAAGTTATATAAACATATTTATCTTTATAAATATTATTTTTCAAACAAGCGCAAGTAATGAGTACAAGATGGGTATGCGGGTACCCAAAGAGTACGGGTACATGGATTAATGTTCATACCCATACAGATATAGGGTCAGGTACAGGTAACGCGAGTATGAGAATGGATACTATAGTAGCTTACTCATTGCCATCCCTATCTAAGAGGAGATTATGTATGCATTTATTATAAAAAATATTAAACTAACCATTAATCTCAAATTAAAAACCTAGTTTTATTTTTGCAACAACCTCCATCTCTTTTCAATCTTAATCTCTTGACTCTCACCAATTTGTAAACTTAAAATTTCAAAGGATGCACCCACATCCCTAACATGAATAAACTTTGGCAACTAGAAAATCCATCTTGTATTTGATGTTATATTACCTTTAGTCCTAAATATAATATTTTTAATTACTTTACAAGAATTAAGAAATATATAATCAACTTTATTAATTACATTAAATTTATTAACAATTTAAATATCCTTTTAAATTAGTCTTAAGATTGGTGCTAACTATTTTACTCTTTTTTTACCTAATTAATTTTATATTTAAGAGCAGAGGTAGAATCTATTAAATTCTTACAAAGATAACAAGATTAAGATAAAAATTTTGAAAAAAATTGTGAATAAATTTTAGCCAATAATAAAAAGTATATGAAAAAGAAAATGTTAAACGAGAATATTTTAAAGACTCCTTGTTTAAAAAAGTATAGGGTCATAAGAAACCTAATTAATTAATAACAACCATCGACATTTCTCAGTAGATTCATAGCCTGACTCTGTTTTGTTTTCCATGTTTAATGTCACATTACAACTATTTTTCTACATGCTAATCTTAGAGATTATTTATATTCTTCTGCAATTGTTAATATCTTGTTCGCTTGACTTCAGAGAAATTAGATGTACAACACAAGGCTATAAAATATTAAACTCTACATTTTTTTTGGTACATGCGACCTTAGCTGGTATGAAATTAATTGGAAATTTCTAAGCATCAAAAGAGAAAACGGAATAATTTCTCAATTTGAAACGTTAGAGATAACATAGAAAACACAGAAATTGAACTGAACCATAGTTGTTGAACCACCACATACTCACGTTGTTGGTGAGATTATGTACCCCATAGGCTAAGCAGAACATACATCACTTTTCGATCTGAAACTACGTTCAAATTAACCTGTTTCGCCGGTAATGGCCAAACCAACTCATACAACATTTTTGCTTCGTAATGGTAATTAGTAATTACTATTAACTCAAACCCTATGATATATTTTTATTGGTAGTGTAGAAAATTCCAGATATATTACTCAGAAAATGGACATGTACAATACGCCTAATTTATTGTAAATTTGAAAATTCTGTCCCTATATATTGTTGCAAACATATGATTCACGCATAAATAAAAAGAAAAAAGAAAATTAATAGCTGTATTATACCTTTCTAACTAAGGAATCTAACATGTAAAAATGATCTATTTCCCTTTTAGCTGTACATTTTCTATTAATTGTGCTACAGAATATATCTGCAATTTGGACCAAATTTAGTGCTCAGAAGTTTACATGGGCAAGAAGGAAGATGTGGCATTCTTTAATTTAATGGGTGTCTCCTTCATGTAAATATATTAATTAAGATCAAAGAAATTCAAAGATCGTTTATGATAATTAATTTGATGGCTGTCTCCTTCATGTCAATACATTAGCGTCAGAATTAGATAATTAAATGATCTAGTCAACAATAGTCAATAAGTGAGTTTTTGAATGTCTATAAAGGGAGTGTGTTGGAACTTCAAATCTACGCCATCCTCACCTTTCTTAACCTTCCAATAGTTGAGGTGATTCTATTAGTTATCTCCAATGAGAATCCATCAAATTTTCTTTCCTTTCTTGATACCCTTTTGCTTGATAAACTTGAATATCAATATTGGCTTAGCAACATGCCACTGTCTTGACCACCAGCAATTTTTGTTACTCCACTTGAAAGACAACCTTGCATTCAACCCTGCAAAATCCAAAAAATTGGTTCACTGGAATCAAAGCTGTGATTGTTGTCAATGGAATGGAGTAACGTGTAACATGGGCCATGTAATTGGTCTTGACTTGAGTGAGGAATTAATTTCTGGAGGATTAAACAATTCAAGTCTCTTTAACCTTCAATATTTGCTGAATTTAAATCTGGCTCACAATGATTTCAGGTCTTCCATTCCTTCCAAGTTTGGCAAGCTAAAGAATTTGAGGTATTTAAATTTGTCAAATGCTGGCTTTCATGGGAATATCCCAGCTGAGATCTCTCACTTAACAAATTTGACTACACTTGACTTGTCTACTTCACTTGCCTCAGAATATGTTCTAAACCTCCACAAGCCAAATATTGGAATGTTTTTGCAGAACCTTACAAAAGTCACAGAATTGTATCTTGATGGTGTAAAGGTGTCTGCTGAGGGAAAGGAATGGTGTCATGCTTTATCTTCCCTTAAAAACTTAAAGGTGTTGAGCATGTCATCATGCAATGTCTCAGGACCAATTGATTCTTCACTAGAAAAGCTTCAGGAACTCTCAGTAATTAGACTAAACCTGAATAATATCTCAAGCCCGGTGCCAGAATTCTTAGCGAATTTCTCCAATTTGAATGTCATGGATCTTAGCAGTTGCAAGTTGAGTGGATTTTTTCCAAAGGGTATCTTCCAAATACCAACATTGAAAGTTCTTGATATATCAAACAACCAGGACCTTCATGGTTTTTTACCAAACTTCCCACAACATGCATCTCTCCACAGCATGAATCTTAGTGATACAAATTTCTCTGGGAAATTACCAGATTCTGTTTCCAATTTAAAGCAGTTGTATACGTTAGACCTATCTAACTGCCAATTCAATGAAACACTCCCTATTTCAATGTCAGAACTCACTCAATTTGTTCATTTGGACTTATCATTCAATGAGTTTACTGGTTCACTTCCATCTTTTAAGATGGCCAAGAATCTCAATTATTTATCACTCTTGCACAATAATTTCACAGGAGTCATTCCATCAGCTCATTTTGAGGGACTTTTAAATCTCGTCACTTTCAATTTAGGTGATAATTCTCTCAATGGGAAAATTCCTGTGTCCCTTTTTACACTTCCATATTTGCAAGAACTAACACTTTCTCATAATGGATTTGATGGTCTATTAGATGAATTTCCAAATGTTTCTTCATCTAATTTACAGTTGATTGATTTGAGCAATAACAAATTACATGGTCCTATTCCTCTGTCTATCTTTCAACTCAAAGGTCTTCGATTCCTACAACTTTCTGCAAATGAATTTGATGGCAGCATACAGCTTGATATGATTCAAAGGCTACACAATTTGCATACATTAGGACTCTCAAACAACAAATTATCAGTTGATATAACTTTGAATGATGATCATGGCTTTTCATCCTTTCCTAGCATGAAATATATATTGTTGGCTTCTTGCAAGTTGAGAGAATTCCCACGGTTTTTGAGAAACCAAACCCAACTAAATGCTTTAGACCTATCCAACAATGAAATTCATGGAATAATACCTAATTGGATTTGGAGATTTAACTCTTTGGTTTACCTAAATCTTTCCAACAATTTTCTCTCAAGTATGGAAGGACCCTTTGATGATCTGAACTCCAATCTATATATCCTTGATCTTCATTCTAATCAACTTCCTGCATCAATTCCTACATTCACAAAATATGCAGTCCATTTGGACTACTCAAGCAATAGATTCAACATTGCTCCACCTGACATGGATAGGTATCTCCCTTTTGTATATTTCCTCTCCCTTTCAAATAATAGCTTTCAAGGGAAAATCCGTGAGTCATTTTGTAATTTTTCTTATCTCCGCTTGCTTGATCTTTCCTATAATAGCTTCAATGGCTTCATTCCCAAGTGTTTGATGACAAGGAATAGCACCCTCAGGGTACTAAATCTTGCTGGAAACAAACTCACTGGTTATATTTCTGATACCATTTCAAGTTCATGTAATTTAAGGTTCCTTAATCTCAATGGAAATCTCATGAGTGGTGTTGTTCCAAAATCTCTTGGCAACTGTCAGAGTCTACAAGTCTTAAATTTTGGAAACAATCAGTTCAGTGACAGATTTCCATGCTTCTTAAGGAACATTCCCACCTTAAGAGTGCTAATTTTAAGGTCAAACAAACTCCAAGGTCACATTGGATGTGAAAATAGCACTGGTAATTGGGACATGCTTCATATTGTTGATCTAGCCTCCAACAATTTCACTGGTACACTACCTGGACCACTTCTGAGAAGCTGGACAAAAATGATGGGTAATGAAGATGAATCCCATGAAAAGTATGGGAGTTTATTTTTTGACATGTTTGATAATCATGACATCATGCGTTACAATAATTTGTTCTTAGTTATCAACAAATTTCTTGTGATAAAATTACAGAAATTATTAGCAACTGAACCTTATTTTGTGGCTGACCACATATTTGCTTATTATGTCACTTCTAATGAATTTGGGGGTCGCTACTTGGATTCAGTTACAGTTGTGAACAAAGATATGCAAATGAAGTTGATCAAAATTCCTACCATCTTCACTTCGTTGGATCTCTCCTCCAACCATTTTGAAGGTCCAGTACCTCAAGAACTTGCAAGTTTGAGAGCATTGTATGTTCTTAACTTGTCACATAATGTTTTCTCAAGTCATATCCCATCTTCAATTGGAAATTTGGTGCACCTTGAATCCTTGGACTTGTCAAATAATAATTTGAGTGGAGAAATCCCACTAGAGCTTGCAAGTTTAAATTTTCTAGCATATTTGAATCTCTCCTTTAATCATTTGGAGGGAAAAATCCCAGTAGGTGCTCAAATGCAAACATTTGAATCAAGTTCTTTTGAAGGCAATGAAGGATTATGTGGGCCTCCAACGAAAAGTTGCACCAATAATGTAGTGGGTCAATCATCTCTAACACTAGCATATGAAATGCATAGACCAACTGACTGGAATATCTTGAGTGTGGAGTTGGGATTCATTTTTGGCTTCGGAATCATCATCCTTCCTCTTATTTTCTTGGAGAGATGGAGGATTTTGTATTGGCAGCAAATAGATAACTTGCTTCATAGGATTGTCCCTCAACTTGGTTTTGTTTTTGAACACTATAGAGGGCAAAAGTATAGAACTCTAAGGTGGATAATGTAGTTGATCTCATGATGGTAGAGCAAACGTATATTGTACTTTTCTTTCTCATTTGGGTTGTGTTTTAGTTGGTGCAAAATAAGAACTTTCTCCAATAATAGTATGCAAAAAACATAGTTATAATTAGATCAATAATTTATCATGGTTTCTCATATAATTGTTGAGCTTAAGAAAAGCTATATGCACTTGCTATTGCAAATAAAAAAAGAAAAAGAAAATAAAAAATCTTAAAATAAACAAACCTAAACTTAATTGCCTTTTCAAACCTGGGATTTAGCTCATTTGTTAACGTTTAGACATTCATTTGTGTATGAAACATTTCATAATTTGATTAAATACGGAGAAATTAGTGACGTCCTCCGGAGTATATTACACAGAAAAAGTCATCTTACATCTAATTCACTCGTATGATCATTGTAGTTTTGAATTTTCTATATTTTGAATTGAAATGTAAAAGAAAAATAAAATCTAATCATATAAAAAGCAAACAGTCTATAAAAAAGAGTAGGAAACTCAAAATGGGGTTATTGTTACTTCTACATAATAGTTTTTTTTTATTTATTTAGTTATTTTAAAGTGAAGAGAGGCGTGTATGGTAAAAAAGTGAAAATTTATTTACTTCTAATTTAAATTTAAATACTTTATAAACGGAACTGTAATCAACTATACATTCTTACTTTATCGCTCTATATATCCCTATTTAAAAGAGTCAATTTTTTTTCCTTCCCTTCAATTTGAAATAAGATGACTAGGTAGTCTTTGAATACTCCTGCTCTAGGTGACCATCAAATGCTCTTTGTTCATTTTACCTTCTGCTTCCAAAATCTATTTCTGTGTTCCAATATACTGAAAAAACAGAGGGCACCAAATTACATACATTATGCTTTGTTTGGATGAAACATGAAATGAGTAAAAAATATAAGTAAAAAAGAATATAATGAAAAAAAAATATGAGAACTAAGATTTAAAAAAATGTGTTATTTGAATGCATAAAAATAAAATAAAAATAGAGAAAAAAAATTACTTTACTTATTTAGTTGAATGAAAAGAGGATAAAATAGGTATTTTATATTAAAAATATTTTTATAATAAAAAATTTTAACCAAAAGTAAAAATTGAAATATAGTACATTTTCTTAATTATGTAATTTTTAAATTATTTTTAATATTTATATATTATTTCAAAAATATTTAATAAAATATGAAAAAATAAAAAGAATAGCATTACACTTTTCCATACAAAATTTCACCATTTTGTTTGAAAATACTATTTTTCACTCATAAAACAAAACATTCAAATATATGAACTTTATTTTCTACACATTTTTATTCTTACATAATATGTTTCACCAAAACAAACAAAAGATTAAGGTTAATCTCGTAACATGTGTTCGAATGAGCTAAATAACATAGCATCTCTATTACCAAACAAAAATTTATACTTTCAGTTCATGTTTACATGATCAATCGTAAAGAATAGTTTAGTTGAAATCCACGATTGCCCAATGAATAATGTTACTTGTTACTATCATCTGTTAGAAAATAAAAGTTAATAACCAATTAAAAGGTTTATAAGAAAGATAATTTAAGTATAAATCATAAAAAATATATTAAACAAACAATGATATAAGTCATCCAAGTTTAAAGTTTAAATTTGTTGGATGAAATTTATAATTTTTTTTAACTTATTGGATGAATTGATAACGTTAAATTTTAATTTATTTGAATTTTTTAGATTTGAGATATTAACTTTTTTAATGCTTTATGTTGAAAATAAGGGCATAATTACACAATTTTGATTAAAAAAATATATTATGTGGGCTAGCGTGCATAAACCTGTTACTTGGATAAGATTGAACTTGGACTGTTTTAAAAGTGTAAATAATTGTGGGTTCTTTTTATCATTATCCTTTTTAAAGGTACCAAAAGGTTACAAACTATTAAAATAAATTTTTTATCACACAATTTAATTTAGTTTAATAAGCTTCTAATCTTAAATAAATTAGAACCTAGCTTGAAAACCTAGTCAAACTCACTATAAATAAATCATTAAAATTTATCAATTTTTAATTAGTTACACCCTTGTTATGATCATAGCATTTGAAAATCCAACAAAACTTGTACATTAACGTATCCTTTGGATAAAAGGAGAAATAAAGACATAGAAATAAATAAAAAAGAATATATAGAATGATAATATATTTGGCTTATTATAAAAAAATATTTTTGATTATTTGGTTTTTCACATTTGTCTATAGGTAATATTTTTCTCATAAATATATCCTTATTAAAAACATTTTATATTGAAGTGACGTTTTTATTTTGTGTTGGAGAACCTCACTTTATTATCATTTTCTTTCCACCCAATTTCTTTCCTTTCGATTCTTCTTCTAAATCCAGAAAAGTAGATTGGTGAAAGTTATCTTAAAGAGCAAGAACATGCACCCAAAATATTCCCACAGTACTCCTCTCCCAAATAAAACACACAGACTAAGACAACTTGAGGGATAAATCAATTTCAAAGCATATATATATATATATATATAGGTGAGATGTCATAACAAGCAGTTGAGAAGCACCACAAGAAAAATACTTCCCAAACACATGCCACGGTCTTACTTTCAAATTGCACTCGCCTAAACCATATGTTAGCACAGAAAGCGATTGAAATAGAATCCAATTGCTACTTCAAACATTAATCACTTTTCTGGTCCTACTAAATTGTGACAATCAAGCACCTTGGCTTTCATTATTAAGGACTATGGACGTTAAGTCTCTTACATGGCATAATCAATCTTCATTTCGGTGCATAAGAATATAGAGAAAGTGCAAATACAAACACAAAGATATTGAAGATAAACCAACCAACCGCTTGAAAAGGGGCCCACATCACACTACTTAATTTCCTTGTAGATGTAATTAGATTGAGAATATTTAGTGAGATGAATATAAGTAGGGAAAGCAAAATCTAAATCAATTTCCTCTAACTAATTATTTATAAACTCTAGCCCTTCATTATGCGACATAAACTTTAAGAAATTCCAATTACTACCTAATTGCTGGTTTGACATTGGAGAATTATTTTTTCCGCACCCAATGTTTCAGTCTATTTTTCCTGATAAATTTTTTGGTAGTATTAATGTAACATCAGTTTGGATAGGAATCCAAGCAAATTTTTTATATTTAACGCAAAATAGAAGAATCATGAAGTGCACAAAAGGCCTTGTCTTCTATTTTGTTGCTTTCTTGTATGGCAGGTTTCAGCTTGTTCTTTTGCTTGAAACCATTGCATTATTTTTTTTAAAGTCATAGTTCACATATAAAATGGAGGATGTAAGGAAGAGAAAGCTATCAGCTCCAAAAAAATGGGGACTTGGAAGGGTTGGAGGTACCTCAAGAGGTTGTCTATCTACCCAATTAAGAGTATCCTTCGTAAGGTGAATCCAAACTTAAGGTTCAAATCTGAAGGTAAGCTTAAGAAGGCTACTTGAGATTGAGATGCCATTTTTGTTAGGAAAATTGTGAAATATGTATGCTTAGAGCTATGGACATATCATCATTCAACAATGATTCTGGATTACAAAAAGTATGTAAATTAACTTGTATCCACTTTGTTTTATTTATGTTGTCTATTACAGGATGCAGAAATGGACTTATTAGTCTTTATAAGGACATGGAGTCTTGTGGTGAATATGCAGATATCCAAGTCATGTGGAAAATGATTGAATCTTCTTCTCCTCAATATGCCTGCAACAAGAAAAGGATCAATAGGTCTTCATATTGGGTGGTCTGTTTCAGGCCAACTTGAATTGTTTTTGGATTTTCTTGGTGGATGAGTCCAGGTTTGTAAGTATGGTAAGTTCGAGAGAAGAAGAGAAGGGGAATCAAATTTGCTTTGTCAGTTCCATTTCTTCACTATACTCCTACTATCATAGATTGACAGTATCAAATCATTGATCTTTTTCGCCCTAGGAAGTGAAAGTGAATGATCAGAGTGCAAATTTGAAATCTCTAAAAGTCGGTGTTTTCTGAGTTTTAGTCTATATATTTTGGGTCTGGATTTTGTTTCTATACTTTACAATACATATCATGCTGACACCACCAGCATGAACTGGAGGAAACTCTTTGTAGTATTATCCATTTCCTTCAGAAAATTAAAGTTACTACATAAATGATACAGGAACTACTTAAACCAAGTGTATTGATCAGGAATACAATTGACATAAATCATGAATAATATAGTTGTGCCATTCAGCTTTTATGAATATCAAATTGGTGATTTCCTTGTATGCGTGTCATTTCTTTTAGACAGGTAACACAACTATACGTTCACTTTAAACCATAATAACCTCTTTTAAGTAGTTCAATGTAACGGTATCATTAAGGAAGGTGGTGTTCTTGATATTTTTAATTCGAAGGTACATGGGTGGTGGCCTTCAATTACTCATGGGAGGGATTTTACTTTCCCTAGCACTCTGCAGTATCTAGACACCAGTTTTACCGAAATTTCCAAAACATCTGAGAGTGTCTTCATTGAAAGCAGTTATTAGATGTTATTACATAATAGATAGGCCTGAAGCCTTTTACCTGAGAAACTAGCAATTACATTACTCTCAGTTCCTAAATCTCAGTACATGGGAGAAACACTTAAATACTATTCTACAGTAGAAAACAGCCCAGAACTTCAGAAAAGACCAAATTTAAACGAAGGCTATTAACAACATCAAGCAGCTTCTTCCTCGTGAAGCAGTCTTTGATCGAAGTGCCAAACACCTGCAAGCCACAAAACAGCAATTTTATTAGAACCCAAGGGTATCCTTCTTACTCTTGGTATCTTCCTTTCTAACTCTTAGCAGGAAAGTACCATACTAATATTAGGTTGGTGAGTGCAAGTCAAAATTAGTTAACCAATATGAAAAATAATGGTAGTAGCTATACATACCGTGACCCTTTCCAACTCTTCTCAATTGAGACACAAACTCTGATATCTTCTTAATTGATTCAACCTGTACCAAAAAAGAAGGTTTTACAAAGACATTAGTAATGTAATCAAAGACAGAGGCAACATACAAATTCACGTTCACTGCATTGATGAGTATCATATATGCAATGCTTCTATTTCCTCTTTCTAAATTCTAGAACTTTTAATGAAATCCCCCAACACTCTACACGATTAAGATGAGTTTCACCTGTTCAGACAAAAACTCGCTTTCAATGAAGTCTGCCATTTGAGGGTCATTGTTGCGATCTGCCACCTATTTTTCACAAATCATCAATTGATTAGCCTTAACAACTATACATCAAATGATTTGTAAGTTCCTAAACAAGGAAAAATAAGAGAAAAAAAACTGCAACCAAAAAGCAGAAATGTAAAGAGGCATTACACTGTGAACATTCAGAAGTTTCTCATTTACTAACTTCTCCAAAGACAAAGCCAATTCCATTGCTGCACCAAACAATAGAGGAAAACAGAAATACAAAAGTAAGCATAACATTATAAACCACAGTGCACAGAATCACAAGTGTCAAGCTGGCAGCTGCAAATAAAGAAAGAATTTGGATCCTGTTATGTTATTAAGATGATATATTCCCGTTTCAGAAAGAGAAAAATACATCTTTATATCAAATAAAGACCTGTCATGATTGGTTGTTGAACCCTCTACTTATATTTGATATATTTGATAAAAAGGGTACCTTTCCTTTTCCAATATGATACTCTACGACATAAAAGGATTCAGATCCATAAAAAAGATCAAGGCACTGAGAAAGTAATAGAATCAGCAAACTCACCATACAATGCATCGCCCTTTTCCACATGCTCAAATTCAGAAGGGACATTCTTGATGGCGTGAAGTACAACTCTTCCACCACGGATGTTCTAAACAATTTTAATAAGAGCAATAGATATCAATGATAGTGTAATTGTAATAGAACTTCAGAAAAGTTGCGTTTACATGCTTATCAGGCGTCAAAACAGTTAGGTACAAGGTTAATTTAACCTGATATTTCATAAGCTTTTCAGCGTGTTCCCTTTCCTCTTCACTAGATTCCTTGAAAAACCTGTTTTCAGCAACAACACAGCACGTGAATTCGAGAACCAATTTGAGAAATGGAAGAAAATGCATGAGGTTTTATATATGTTACTTGGCTAATCCTTTGAGAGCCACGTTGTCCCTGTCAAAGTATGCAAACAAAGAGTGGTACACATAGGAAGCGTTGTATTCCACACTGACACAAATGGAGATGAACAATGGAAAACATCAGCAACTACACCATAAGATGCACGCAAAATAAAAATACAAAAAAAATCCTAAATTCTGTATTTTATATTTAACAAATAAAAATCATAGTGGTCTATTAATACTGGGGAGGGAAATGCTTGATCTGCTTATATTAACAACAAAAGATTCAAATTTAAATGAAAAAAATGAGAATCATAAAAGGGCTCACTTAATCTGTTCGTTAATTGCAGATTCGCACTCATCAGCATATATCTGACGAGCCAATGAAGCTTGAGGTGCTGTCGGAACCGCAAGTTCACCTTTCTTAACCTCCTCGAACGGTTCGAATATCACCCCAGTGAGAGGTGCGGTTGATGCACAAACCCTAAGGTTTCTGCCTCCAAATTTCTTATCGAGGCTCAGAGAAGAAGGGGTGGAAGAGAAAGCAAAGCTGAGAGAAGAAGATAGCAAAGTTGGTTTTCTCTGAGCATCCCCAACAAAGGCTGAGGGAGAAAACCCAGAAAAGGAAGAAACTTTGGAAGAAGCGAGGGCCATTGGAGCAGAATAACGAAATAGGTAATCGGAAAAGGGTTGAGAATGGGAGTAAGGAAGAGGGGAATGGAAGAAGAATCAATGGCGGCCCTGAGTGGCTGTGGATGCAGAATGGGAGGGATAAAGAAGATATAAGTAGTAGGCGAGAGGGGCATTTTGGGAGTTTCGGATGTTAGATTGGTCATTTTGAACCGTTCGATTAGAAACAGGTGGAAGGTTAAGATTGTGTGACGAAAGGGGCGTGTGGCGGCCTCGTGCTCTCTCAACATATCAAGTGTGAACGGAGAATAAAGGGAAATATTCGATCCACGTAGGAATCGTGGCTTCATCCGCAAAAGTAGGGACAAGTGTCTCCCACTAGTGTTAAAGATCATTGTTTATTTAAAGAATTTGCTTTAAGTATAACAAAAATTAATTTATAATTTTTATATGTTATTTTTAATTTATTTTAATATTTTTAATTAAATTTAGAGTATAATTTTTTATATTAAAAGAGTTTAAAAGTCTAAAATAAATAAATTTTTAAAATAAATCTAACCAATCACAAAATACAAACATCTTTATTTAAAAAAGATACAAAAGAGGAAAGAGAATCTCAAAAGATGAGAAAGAAGATAAAAGGTCTAGACCTATCTTAACTAAAGAGTTAACACAATAGTTTGCTTCTTTATATATGTGTACTAATCTAACAAAATTAATAAATTTTAAAACCTCTCTAATATTAATAAAAACAATGAAAGAGAAGATTGTTAGACATTCAAAATATAAGCAATGACATTTTTGGAGTTACTTTTAATCCAAATAGTCTAAACATTATTGTGAAATATTATTTAGACACCCAAATAAATGCCTCAAATTTCTACAATCAAAAGGGAAAAAAGATCAAGATTGTTATAAAAAATAACAATAAACTTGTCATGATTATCTCAATTAAATCACTATAGGCAGCATCATCACTAGACTTGGAGAGTGCTCCAATCTACATTAAATTTTAGTTGATCACCATGGGAAGGAATCCATCTCACATTCTCATGATGAGAAGCTAGTCTGGGTAGAGATATAAAGTTTTTCATACAAGAATAAGAGAAATAATCAGCACCATATTAAGTTTTAGAGATAAAGTATTAGAGTTTGCAGAAAAATGCTGAAATATAAATTTATTCTTATCTTTCCAAAGGTGTCAAACAACAATACCAAGTCAAATAGGCCAATTATGAAAGTTCTTGATGCAGGTATTGGATAAATTAGACAATAACCAATAAAAAAGGATATTAATAAAGAATTGCACCCACTAGTTAGGAAAAATAAATGATCTCATACTATCATAGCATAAAAATAGTCTCTCAAAATATGCATAATAAATTTGAGGCCTTCCTAGGTCAAAGAGCAGATTGAAAAATCTGTCATACCTCTGCTAAATCTCTTTATATTTGTGAGTAATCTCTTATGAGCTATTTTTTAAAGGAGAAAAGTAAATTTAGGAGGTCCTTCCCATTTTCAAATAACTTTAAACAAGTCTTAACAATACCAAAATAAAAGGCAAAATTATCTAGTAGATTCTAGAAGATAGAATCTACTCCACTAGACCTAGCAAGGGAATAATCTCAGCAATGGACTAGTCAACTTATTAGTATTAGGAATCTAGTTATCAATCCAAAACTTAATAGATATATCATCTTTAACAATCTAGTCTAGCCCTTGAGAAAACTTAGGCCAAACAAACATGAGATTTTTCCAGAGGTGGGAGTGATTGTGGGACTTCTTTATTTCCAAATTTTGGCCAAGACTGAAATTATACTTATAGCTAAGAACCTGAGCCTATAGGTTAAAGGGGAAAGTAACCACCCTCCAACACAGCTTCATCATGTATGCTTTGTTAAGCATGTTGTTAAACCTTCTTCGAGTCAGGTTTGGAGCTCCAAGGAAAGAGAGACAGTACCCTCTGTTAGTTTTATTGATATCTAATAACCACGTCGCAATGGTATCAAACAAGCTAGATTTTCTCAAAAATTGTGCAATACAAGAAGCAAACCTAGGTCATCTCTCAAGGACATAAAATGCATTTTATTTTTAGTTCCATCATGCAATTTCAAATTAGATTGGGGGAGGATTTGTTTTGAATTTAAACGACAAAATAACAAAAACAAAAATTAAGGATTATGAAATTCAACCAATTCAAGATCTCAATCCCTACAATGCAATTCTCATCGTTCACACAAATATAATCCCAACAAATTTCCAATCACACTAATTCAATGCGCATCAACAACCCTAAAATCTAAATCTAGATTATGAATTTCATCAAAACAAGAACTGCAATCGCAAACCCAATGCTTTAACAAAATTTAGAACAATTGATTGATTAAATTAGGTGAATCCAATTAATTCAAATATGAAATTAACCTATTCTTTCTATTTAGGATGCAACAAAAATTCCATATCATGAAAAACGTAATTAACCTAATTAGAAAAGAGGAAGGAAAGGAGGAATTCGATAAAACCTATTTTGAAACTCGAATGCAATGTAGTTTTTGAAACCTTGAACCGGTTGATGAATTAGCCTTGCTTCATAATCATGTTGCTCGACCAATTAGAGAAGGAGATGAAGTTTCTGAAAATAAAAGAGAGGGAGACGAGAGGAATCCTTACGAAAGCTTTTATTTAAAATTCTGAAAATTAAGGCAAAAAAGAGGGAAGAAGATCCCCACACGAAATCATAAACTCTATTTAAAGACAAAATAATTGGGCTTAATTAAGGCCCAGCTTCCTAACGAGGTTCCTAAAACCCTAATTAAGTAATGTCAACAATAAAACCAAATTCTGAAAAATTCATTGCAGGACCGCAACATTGTGATGTATTTTTGGGTCTGAAGATGTTCGAACTGGGCTTTTCTCGCAACAGAGAAGTTGTAGATCTCTCTCTTATCTTTCCAGGGAAACCAATTTTGTCCAATTCTGAGTAGTGTAGCTCCAGATATGGTCTTTTCAAGAAACTGTATCAAAACAAGAATTTATGGCGGGAATTAAGAAAGATTTAAATTTAAATCCTAAATGACTTACCAACACAAATATAAACTAACACATCAAAATAATATACTAAAAAGACTCAATTAAATCGAAAACATAGAGAGAAAGATGTATTAAAATATGACTATCAAATACCCCCACACTTAATCCTTTGCACTCCAGGGCAAAACTTACAAAAATTCTCAAAACTTTCTAATGAATTTCCAATGCAAAGAATAAAGAAAGAGAACAAACACTTCTAGAATCAAGGCAACAAACAATCTATGAGACACAAATGACATTAAGAGTAAGCAAGAAGACAAGTCAAAATAAGGAAAGATTCAACAATGATAGAACCTCACAAGGTAGTATATAGCTCTTAACTCTAAAAAAAAATAAAATTTCGGCTAGTGTTTACACTTAATCACAACATGAAAACTAGCACACTTAAGTTTTGACAAGCTTCTAATTTCCACAACTTGAAACACATGCAATTAAAGATCAAAAGGACTTTTATTTAGCTTGTAATGTGGCCAAGGTAAAGGTTAGGTGATAAAGATATTAAGGCTAAACAACCAAAGAGAAAAGAGGAGCAATGGGGAATAAGTTCAAATAAGCAAAGGGATTACCCCTTGAAACATCTCCTAAATCCTATGTCTTGAAACACATTTTTTTTTTCTTAATACCAAACAACTCAACATCAATATCCACAATTTAGAATAAGCATTCCCTAGAAGTACCCCCACACTTATTAAAGACCCATTCCCAAAACAATTCTAAAGCTCCTTTCATCCCTAAAGTTATGGAACATCATGGTTATTTAATTTTTTATTTTTTTTATAGTTCATAATGAGCTAAAGTCAAGGAAGGGTTATAAAGGCTCAAAGGGGGTAAACAAGTGGAATTAATGCGAGGTAAGTCAATTTGGCAAAGTGGCTACATTTTGAAAGAAGGCCTAAATCATATCAATAATGCATGTGACAAGAAGCTTCAAAAAGATACAAGGCAAAACCAAAGGTAATCTAGCAACATGAGTGAAATCACACAAGAAAGAAGTAAAATATGCTCAAAATTCTCACAAGGTTCATATTCTATCATTAATGAATCAAACTCATCCTTTTTCAAGTAACTTGCTCAACTAAAAATGTAAAAATGACTCATATCAAGTATTGCAACCTATCAACTAAAAATGGTGTAACAACTTTCACAATTCCTACATCTAGAAATTAAAAGGAAAGAATGAAAATTTGTGTAACTACTCCAACAAAACATCATCAAAACAGAAAAGTAGAGGCACAAAAAACATGCAGAATTCGTACTCCAAAACAGCAGAAAAAACAGAAAATAGAATTATAAACAGCAGCAGAAAAACAAAATCTGCAACAGAAAACAAAAACTGCAGCAGAAAATGAAAACAAAAATTGCAAAACAAAAAATGAAATCTGTAGAAATCAGCACAGCAGAAAAAATGAAAATAGAAAACAGCAAAACAGAAACAACAGAAAATGAAAAATGAAAACAGAAACAGCAGAACAGAAAACGAAAACAAAAAACAAGAAAAACGAAAACAGAAAATAGCAACACAATATGCATGCAACTCCCCCCACACTAAAAATCACATTGCCCTCAATGCAGCAACACAACAAAGACAATTTCAAATAATACAGAATGGGGAAAGAACTCCCTCAAGGTCCAAGGGTTGGTGCTTCCAAGGCTATGCTTTCTACATTTTTCTCCTCCAACTTTGGACTTTGATAAAATTTCTTGAGTTGATGTCCATTGACCTTGAAAATGCTGCCGGTAACTTCATTCTTAATCTCAACTGCACCATGGGAAAACACATTAGTAATAACAAAAGGACCATCCCATCTAGATTTAAGTTTACCGGCTATAAGTTTTAGGCGGGAATTGAACAAAAGCACTTGTTGGCCCACTTTGAACTCCTTTCTCAAAATATTTCTATCATGAAAATGTTTGACTTTTTCTTTATAGATCTTCGAGCTCTCATAGGCCTCCAAGCGAAGCTCCTCAAGTTGTTGTAATTGAAGCTTCCTTTCCATACTTGCTTGTTCAAACTCTAAGTTACAATGTCTAACCGCC